GCACGCGGCTCTGGCGGTAGCGGCGATACCAGCTCTGGCGCTGGCAGCTCTTCGGGCCCACCGCGCGTCGCAGGACGGCGCGGGCGCGAGGCCGGCGGCGCCGCGGCGCCTCCCCGCCCGTATCAAGTTGAAGCGCAGCCACGCGCGAGACTGTCTGATTGGTCGAGGCTCGACTTTCAGTTAAGTCTCCAAAACTTACGCAGCTTAATTAAGTCCGCCCATTGCGTTTAAGAAATTACGTTGGCTCTACCTGCGGCGCCATCGCGCCTCCGAACCACAGATGCGCACAATCCTACCGAAGGTGGGGCTAGATGTGCTGCGCGACTGAGCATGATAAAAGGTGTGGTTGGCTCATGCCGTGGGCGCAGACATTGGGCGAAACCAGGCAACGCGGCCATGCCATCCATCAACCTCCCAGGTAAATTCAATGGGAAGTCAGATGCGGTCCGATGTTTTATAAGCAACACATCGCACACCAGATCATCGACCGATACATTCGTTGGGAAGCTGGCCAACAGGTAGCTGACAGGGTGGTGCGTATTATATTGGACGTCTACCACCACTGCTGGATGCAACATGGCCCAGCCACGCTGATGCACTCCGACGGGGAGGGCGCTCTAATGGCACCTATCAGGCTATCTTGAAGGCCAAGGGCACGGAGCTTCGCATCCGTGCCCGAGGCCAGCGCGGCACTACAATTGAGGCACGCATCCTTAGACACACTTCACAAATTCTGGGAGAAGATTTTAAATTCCACAACATCCCAGTAGTTTCCACGAGCCTACTGTACGAGGGCCGATTTGTCTGCAACGCGCTCACTTTCTACAGCGGTGTATCGCCATATCAGACATTATCTTATATGGCCGACAGCCGTCCTGTCTCCCAGACTTCTCGGCGCTCGACAACAAGCAAGGGGCGGAGACGCCCGACCGCGACTGGGAGGGGAGTGTCCAGGAAATAAGCGCCGAGGCTCCTACGCGGGCCTCGGCAGCGGCCAAGGCGATCCGAGCCCCACGCATTAAAACAACAGCAGCAGGACACGACAGTTATTAGCCCGGCGATCTCGTGGCTCGCGACCGCCCGACCACCACCGCAGTGGACGACTGGGGGGATGGAATACTCCATGCCCCATCGCTCGTAACTACCTTGACCGAGGTCAGGCTGTGGTTCAGGTCAGCAGTCGAGAAGCCCTCTTACAGCATCCAGACGCACGCCATACATTGCACCTGGAAATATGAAAGGTCCGCGAGATCGACTCCGACGCAGCGGCTATTCGCGCGGTGCTGGCCTCTATCGCAAGCCTACCTGCGGGTGGACCGGCTATGACATTCGGCTACCTGCCGGCCAAGCACGGAAACTTGTCGATGACCACGGCAAGCAGGGTCTTGCCTAAGGTAGACTTAGCATTGCAATTCTTTGTCAGAAACTACTTCCGACCAGAGAATGTAGTAACTGTGCGACTAGCTAAGAACATCCACAGGTTTACTGCAGCATTTGTTGCTGACGCTTGTGCCCTCGTGCACGATGACAACGATGTCGCGCCAGGATCCGATTACTACGAGTCCGAAGGCACAGCCCTTATAACCCACGACATCACTGGATCTACACAAGCACATCGACGAATACTTATCTAAGTTTGAGGATCTGGCACGCGCGCCAGCATCGGGCGGCAACGCCCCAGAGGAACATCAGCATCTTGCTCCTGCCGCGCTCGGCGGCAGGCTTCCGACCATTACTGAGTAGTCGGAGATGAACTTAGAAGCGCATCTCATGGAATTCTGGTACAATGAGCTCCAAGAAAGGAACTACTGGAGACTGCGCCATTCGATCCTTTCTATTCTGTACCCAATGAAAATCGCGCGCTCGTGACTGTGGCCAGTGATGAGCCACGGCGCCGGCATGAAGAATGGCTGGGATTGTCGCGACATTACCGTAAAGACATTCTCAGTGCCCTGCGTCGCCGAATACGGCGAAACACGGTCAGTGCGTTGAGCTCTGCTCTACGACTGGCACGGCCTAAGTTTGGCTGACGTAGCGCCGGCACAAGTCATTTCACAACGGCCAGATTACCACTACGCGCGTAGACGTGTCATCCGCAGCCAAGAGAGCTGCGGCCCTCAAGGACGACGAACTCTTGGCGAAAGCCGATCTACAGGCAAACTCGGCAGCCACATCTTTCCACGCGGAACTGAAGACATGGCATGTCAGCACATGTTTCAAGATGCATGGTGTTCAAGAAAGAGCCTGACATCTAGAGATGTGCGCACATAGAAATTCGTGACAAATGAAAAGGGGCGAGATGGGGAGAACTGCCAGATTTCGCCAGGTCCTCCGCGGCCTCATGGATGTCGAAGCCTTCGGTGCAGATACCTTCTCAGGCGCAGCTCGTCGAGCAAGCGAGAGACTGCTTGCAAGCGCGGTCTCGTGCAAGGAGTCATGGGTCTTGTCGTTCATGGGCACCGGTAAAGCTTTCTTGAAGGGTCTGACTTATCGTGAGTCGGCCGAGATGGAGCGCATGGTTTGTTTTGCCCTCCCACCTGGTTCATCACCGGCACAGCGCGCGTTGCTGGGCGTCGCGTCTCATGACGAATCGCAACGCTGTTTGCAGCGTTTGAAGCCAGGCACATGCACTGCAGATGCCCCCAGAGCATGCCCATTCAAACCTCAGCACCGTCACGAGAGGCTTCGGGCTTACACTTGCGTCATGCGATGAAGAAGTTTGGGCGCACCCAGACCTCGTAACATCTCAGCATGCCGACGACGCAAGCTTGGCAGGAGCCGAGGACACCTTCGACACATGTGTCACGTACGTAGAATCTACGATAGGCGTATGTAAGCTTAGTAATCAAAGTTGCCCCAACTATGCCGCGCGCAGCACCAAGACCGAGGGCGGCCGCGCCCAGCATGGACAAGATGAATTCACCAAGCAACTTCGCCCCGCACAGCACCCATGACTAACTGGCGCTGTAGCCGAAAGAAGAGGCAGCGAACGCAGTATCTGATATGTTCATGAGCTTACGTGGTGCGTTAGCATATGCATTGATCACGCAGGCATGCTCAATGGTACATTTGGCCCCATTACAACGTCTCCCAGAACCGACAAACTTGCAAGCACGGAGGCTCCACGCCGCAAAGCGCGAGGCGTGGTAATCGCCACCCTAACGGCTAGTCCGATGACGAAGCTATGGGGCACGGCGTCCGAGAAGACAACTTCCTACTGCGCGGGCACGCGCCCAACGGAGGGGCTGAAGTACATCTGATCGGCGCGCGCTGCAAGTTACGCCGCTTGCATGTACGCTCCAGCAGCTCAGCTGAAACCTTAGCTGCAGCTCATATTTTGGAGAACATATACCCTACCAGTGCGATGCTACGCTAGCACAAGGCTGGACCGTTGACGCCAACTTAACTCAATCATATCTTAGAGGTCGGTGGTCTAAGCATGAAAGTTATCCTCCCCATGGACGCCAAGTCGGTCTTCAAGTTTCTGTCGAATACGGACCTGCGTAAACCAACTGAATGTACCGCGCAAGGGCAGACCAGCTGTACCCGACAGATGCTGGATCGAGGAATCGCTCATCGCGTACATTCGCGTGATACACGGAATAAGACGGCCGACGGCCACACCAAAGTTTGGATTGATCAGGAGTTACAACTGCTAGTAGTGGAAGGAGCACAGTCATTCAAATACGAAGTAAAGAAATACGCAGCATAGCGAGGCAACTAATCAGCATCAATGTAGTATTGCCCTACTCTGGGCTAGCGGATACCGTATACGGTTGGTTGAACCATAGCCAACACATGTTCGGACACGAGCAACAGACCAGTATCAGCGCGAACACGGACCATTTTTGCCAAGTTCTGATGCCCTTACAGCTGGGTCAGGAACCCTTTTTTGCACAATTTGACGCCTGAGAGTTTAGTCAGACGCCCCCGTAAACATCAACCATATTGGTTTTGCCCGTGGCTGCCCATAATGGTCTGCGGTCTGTCATGTGGTACTGCCCACGACACACCCTAATACTCAACGCCGCCCTTTGTCTGCCATGATTGTTTTGTATTGTGGGGGAGATTTTTTAGCAAACAAAAAGACCTTTTTCCCCTCCTACATCACGTCTAAATCATAACCTACACAAGTGGACTGGATTTGACGTTCGGCTCCTCCCCTCCTGATTTTGGGGGAGCCCAGCGGGGGGATTGCATTGCGAACGTCATAGTCCATGTCCGGCGCTATCTTGGGCTAAAAGTAGCGCGCGCCTGCGAGGCACCATTGAACTTGAGCGCCGGATAAAGGCCGCATCCACCGACGGTTCATCTTTATCCTAGGCCTTATCTCTCACATCTTGTCCTGCTTGCCATCAAGGGATAAACTATGGGTTGCCGTGCTACGTCTACGACGTCATCCTAGGAAATTGTGTCTCAGCGTACGACATCATGGAGCCCCCGAGCCTCATTTTTCGCTCTTGGGCCATCCTGCTTCGGCCGCCTTAGAATCCCGGGAGCGCGGGCCGAGTTCTGGTTAGCAGGGATGGTGAATCCGAAAGGTGGGCGATGCACGCAGCGACCTGCTAGTGGAGGGAGCGGGCCCTGGAGAAGAGCACAGACGCCATGCCAGACACCTTGGCAGTCTACCGCGCCGCGCAGTGCCGGAGGGCACGGCGCCGGATACAGAGAGGGTCCACACGTTTTGCTCAAGTGGGATGGAAGCGTGGGGTGGCGGGGGGGAGGAAATTGTAGAACCATGTGGACCATTTGAGAAAATTTAAATCCGAGCAAACATAGTACCTGTAAGGGTGTATCTTTCAATTTCGCCTGAGGGGAGCTCCAGTTTTGCTCCCGGCCGGTTCCGCGGGCCTCCGCCAAGACCCAGAAGTCACCCCCATCAGGTCGTCGGGGGCGATTATTTTTTTGTTTGAAGCGCCCCATGTGGAAAATCTTTCTGCTCCAGGAGCCTCAAAATCATCTCCATTGTTTTACGTTTCTCACACTTCCAGATCCTGGAGGTAATCGTTGACCAGATGCTGAACGACACGCTCTGGACGGTCGCTCCCGTCGCCGTCGCCATGGTTTTTTCATCCGCAATCTTCACCCGATGGTTCTCGGGGGGGGGCGGACGAGTTGCAACACAGGCGCAAACACCGCTTGCGGCTTGCACAACATGATGTCTTGAGGAGACCACTGAATTGTGCAAGCGTTGTGTGTGGCCGAACTGTCGGCCGATTTCCACAAGCCTGGTGATGCAGTGATCGACGTGTTGGGGGACCGCGCCGATTTGGGCCATAACTGGGGCTCGCGAGAGGCCGAGTACCCTTGCGTTCCCCGTTTCTGTTTCTGCCGGAGGTTCCGACGTCGAACACTGTTCGCGCGCATATTCAAATGACTGCGGAAATGTTCAGCAACGCGCCAGTACAGGCTGTATTGAACAGCAGCGCAGCAGGAAGGCGGGTGAGTTTTTAGACTGGTGACCCGTTGCGGGCCGGCGCCCTGTCTGGACTGGTGCGGCCCATTCTTGTGCGCAGGCCAGAGATTTCTTTTGGGGGCACATTGGAAAATGTGGTGCAAGTGCAGTATAGCATTGCTGTGTGCCTCCATTCCGTCAGCTGATCTCCTTCGTATACACCACGGCATGCGGCTGAGCCCGAATTGGCGAACATCGCTGCAGAGAATACTGCTCATCATTAGTTCCAGTCAGTCTTCAGTGGTAGCGCGGAGAGTGGACAGCAGACTGCGTTCGCGTGACCGTGAGCGAGCCTCGGGACCCGCAAGTCTAGCGGAGTGGAGTTCCACGCAGGTCGCAACGGGACCTGTCCGAGCGTGGGTGCCGCCAGGCGCGCATCCGTCGCTAATTTGCAGGGCCCTTGGGCCTTGAGGTCCCGCGGACCTGGGTGGTCCAGTGAGCCCATACGCAGATCGCAAAAAGCAGGCGTTCCCTTCCTGGGTGCTGCCAGGAGCGCAACCGTCGCCGCTTCGCTGCCTCCCCTGTGGGTCAAGCTGCGGCGCGCATGCATATGGCAACCGGGCCTCGCCCTGCGCGTGTGCTTCAGGCGTGCAGTTGTCGCCACCTTGCCGTCCCTGGAGGGTTCCAGCCGCGTGGCGATGTGTACGCATCTGAACGAGATCTCGCCTTGCCTGCCAGGGTGATCTTGTTTGTGCCTCCCAAGTGTTCAGTGGGAGACCCCTGTGGGCGCCTCTTTGGAGCTTCCTGGGGCCTCTCGGGATCCATTGTGGAAGCCTGAAGACATGTTCGAGGTCGTTGGGCCGTCTCGGATTGGTCTGGTGGCATGTGCAGCTGTCTTGGAACGGTGTTTGGCCGTCTTGGAGCGGTTTGGAAGCTGGAAGTGGCGTCGGAGAGCAAAAATGTGGGGTGTCAATGTTCGGATGGCGCGCACTGCGGTTGGGTGGGGGGGGTCTTAAAATACTACGGAAGCACGATCATACAATTGACCAGCATCCTGCCATTGACCGCTTTGAGGCGTTAGCGACCTCCCAGGGACAGCTACATGTTCAGGTCTTCCCTTGGCACGTGGAGATGTGATGTCGTCGGTGCCCCTAGGGGTAGAGTGATGCGATCGGCGTGCGAATTTCTCCAGGTGTTTTTGCTTGTGTTTTATAACATTCGCATAGTTGGTTTCCCGTCCAGGCTCGACATGGCCTTCGTGAAGTACAGCAGAGCCGGCCAGATATCGATGCGCCTGCGTGCCCAGATCTTGCGGAAGTTTTGGAATCTCTCCATGCAGTCTCATTTCCGGTTGGACGATCAGCAGGTGCGGTGGCTCATGTCGTTACTTCGCGCAAACGAGATTACCAGTTCGTGGCTTAACCTCTTCGACGTTATAGGCCAGACGGCGAAATTGGTATTCAGCGTTTTCGTGATCATTCTCACGGCTTCTCAGTGGTTCACCGTCAGTTCTTTCTCCGATGTGTTTGTCTCGCAAGCGCACATTTTTCTAACAATCGCAGCGTACGCGGTCTTGAGTTTTGTCATCTTCCTTGTCGTGGCAATGGGCGGCCGTGCGCATCAGCAGGCCAATCTGGTGGAGCGATGCGAGGAGCAGCTCGACATCATCGTCAAGCAGTTCATGTGGACCTTGCAGAATTGGTCCATCGTTGTTTCGGACAGTCCGCGCCTCGACAAAGTCGATGATATCCAGCAGCACGCGATGCAATCGAACAGTGAGTACGCTGCTCTCCTCAGGGAGGTGTGGCTCGGGGAGATAACAACCTATTGGATATCTAAGTACATATCGTACGCAATCAGGGTGGCTCTGATGTACTACGGCGCCATGACCGTCATGGATGCTGAGAGATTCGGTGTGGGGAAGTTCACGGTCGGATCATTTATTTCGATTGTGCAGGTCGTGGATGTATTCGGCAACACTATCACGAAGTTGAACCAGGACGGGCTTCAATTCATTCGCGCAGGAGGCGAGTTGAACAACTACGCAGCCTTGCTTTCTTTGGACAGAGAGGAGAAGGAACATGAGACTGAGGAGGTCGACGGTAGCAACTCGGCCAATATCCAGTCATTCGGTGATAACCGCATAGTCTTGGAAAATGTATGCTTCAGGTACTCCCCTGCCCTGGATGACGTCATCCACGCTTGTTCTATGGAGATTTCTTTGGGCTGCTCTTTTATCATATCTGGCCCTCGAAGCGCTGGCAAGCTCACGCTGTTGCGACTCCTGATGGGTCGGCATTCCATGACACCTCGCTCTGGAGCGCTTCACGTGCCACCGTGGATGAGAGTGTGCCTTCTTGATGGGACTGGCCATTTCATCCCTGGGATGTCGCTAAACAACCACATCCTGCTGGGAACGGACCGTGCGAGCAAGGAATCAATTGCACAGTTGCTTGCGAGAGCGTTGCCGTTGCAAGGCCTGTGCAACATTGTAGGCAGGAGGGATACCATTACCAGCGAGAGCATCGAAAGTGTCATCAGTGACAATTCGTCAGGGCATGCAGATGAAGACGTCGCTCACATCACGACGCGCGAGCGATTCATAGTGCACGTTGCGAGGGCGTTGCTTCGCGATCCCGACCTGATGCTCGTGAACACGAGGGCGGTTCCAGACGACTACTGGACCGAGAGGATTTACGTCCTACTCAGCCTGTGGCAGCTGGCTGGCGGCTTGGAAGGGCTGGCCAATGAGCTGACCCAGATGGAGGCCGCCGACGTGTCTGTGCGAACAGGGCAGCCCTCCATAAGCGCGTCTGATCTTCTCAAGCGGCTCAGGCTTCTCAAGCATCGAGGGCCAGATAGCCTGCTCGAGCGAAAAGTCCTGGAGGTCAGCGGCCAGCCTCGGGTTCGCCTCGAGCCTGCACAGAGGAAGCAGGCTCGAGGCGAGCCCATCTGCCACCGCGGATCACGACGAGGGGGGGGTCCGGAGATCTCGACCCCCATCCGCCCATCTTGGTACGCTGGACCCTGTGCCGAGCCCATCTGCGAGGGTCTTGGTCGGACGGGGCTAGCACCAGGATAATCCGTTCCAGACCGTTCCGGGACGCCCTCAGAGCGTTCCAGAGCGCTCTGAGGAGGCCGCGGCGCCCGAAGCATCCTCCAGAGCCGCTGGATCTCAGAGGTTCTCGGTGCATCTTGGCCCGAAGGTGTCCTCTTCCTGGTGTCGTCTTGGGTCCTGGGGCCCGAGGCGGAGCCTGGGGGGCCGGGGGCTCGGGGCAGCCGCGCGTCGCCCAATCGATGTCCGCTCGAGCTGGGCGGCGGAGGGGCGCCGAGGATGTGAGCCACCCGCGGGGGCGCGGAGGCGAGCGCGCCGCGCGCCGCGCGGGCCTCGGCGGGGGGGGGTCGTCCCCCAGGGTGGCGGCGCCCGGGCGCGCTGGCGGCGCGCCCAAGCTTCGGGGGCAACGACAGGGGGGGGATGGGCACAGGGGGGGGATGCATTCGGAAGCTGGGGCATGTACCTATACGACGAGCCTGCGGGTGATCAGGAGGTTTGGGGGGGGGGAGGGGGCCAGCAACGGGCAGCAGGGGTGAGTGTTGTTCTGACGATGCCAGTGGAGATCGTTGCGTTGCCGTTCGCTCTTGGGAGCCTTGGGGTCGAGTTGTTTACGTCACCCTTCGCTCTTGGGCGCCTTGGAACCATTCCCCCCCCCCTCCCCCAGAAACCAACGAAATCAAGACATACTTCGTTCATTTTGCAAGGGCATGGGGGGCCGTCTGGGCGCGTCTTGTGGACATCTTGGGGGGCTCTTGGGGGCCTCTTGGGGGACTCTTGGGAGCCTTTCGGGGATGGCGCACGCTCGCTGCTTTTCTCGCCACGCGCCCGTGCCCAGTCGATCTCAGTATCGATCATCCGATCGATCTCACTATCGTTCTCCCTATCGTTCTCATCGGTCTAACTATCGATATCATTATCGATATCACTATCGATCTCAGCACGTGAAACCACGGGGCACCGACTGGACACCGATGGGACACCGACGGGACGCAATCGATCTCACTGTCGATCTCAGTATCCATCCCATTATCGATCCCACTATCGATCTCGCTATCGATCTCACTATCGATCTCGTTTTCGATCTCACTATTAATCTCACTATCGTTTCCACTATCGATCTTGCTATTGATCCCATTCGATCGATCTCACTATCGATATCACTATCGATATCACGATTGATCTCACTATCGATTCCTCACCATAGATCTCACTATCGATCTCAATATCGGTCTCATTATCGATCTCACTATCGATCTCATTATCGATCTCATTGTCGATCTCACCACGGGACAACGACGGGACAACCGGCGGGACACCAGCGGGACACCAGCGGGACACCGGCGGGACACCGCGCGCCACCGGTTGCCGGGCGGAGAACCTTTTGGTCTGGCCGAGCCACGACGGGACAACCGTCGGGACACCAGCGGGACACCAGCGGGACACTGGCGGGACACCGCGCGCCACCGGTTGCCGGGCGGAGAACCTTGGTCCAGCCGCGGCCCAGCCACAGGAGCATTTCCTCTTCCCCGCCCACGCAGCTTCGCCTCGCCCGCACGCTCGGCACGAACACGAAACCGACATCGATTCCCCAGTAGGGGGGCTCTCCGTTCCTTTTCGATCTCACCCCCCAACCTCCGACATAACCAGTGGCGGGCTGTTTTCATTCCCAGGGCTCTTTAAGGGTCGGGGACGACGTCGGGCTGGTGTGGTGTATACGTTTTCCCCACTTTCCTGGGGAAGCAACGAAAAATGTATACACCAGGGCCCCGTATACACCAGGATCCGTTCTCCAGTGCAAATTCCAATGCAGGGTCGGAATAAGCGTCGGTGTATAGAGGTCTGTTCCTCAGGATGGGCACAGGGGGGGATGCATCGACACCCAATCGCCCATTGATCGCCGATAGGGGCCTAATAGCCCCAAACTGCCCAGGAACGTGCGGATTCACTATCGTGGGCCTATCGCCGATCCATCGGCGAGGTATCGCGGATTCCGGGTCGATGTTTCCCCCTTCTGCCTATCCCATCCCCCCCTATCGTCGCCCCCGGGCAAGAAGAGGGGAGATGGGGGAGGGCGGCCTCCAAGGAAAGCCTTAAGGGTCGTCGTAGTCCGGCTTCCGGCGACTTCTGGGATGCAGCTCGCCTCGCACCCCCCGCTCTTCCGCGCCGCCAGATGGAGTTCAGGAGGGAACAAAAACACACAGACACAATGAATCGTCGATTCCCCAGAAAATATTGGAAAATATGGGAAGTGAGGGGGAGGCAGAAACCCAGAAGATATGGGAAAATATGAGGACTTGTTTATATTTGTGTGTATTTATTTGTGTGTGTGTGTGTTTGGCACCTCTAGTGCTCCCCGCCTGGGTATCGCGGTCGGTCGCCGTGCGAGCGGCACATTCGCGCCTCGAAGGCGCAGGCCCGAAGGGTGCTCCTCAGCGCACACCACGGCTGACGGCCCAGGCTGGAGCCGAAGCCTCGGAGGTGGACAGACCTCCTACCCTGACACGTCGATAAGGGAATTGGCGGTGTTCGGTTCGCGAGAGGGCGTCGCGGCCTTCATTTCTTTGCGGGTCCAGCTCCGTCGGTTTCGGTCCCAGGCCGTTTTCATTAGAGGGAGGTTTACCAAAGGGAGGTCTGTCCACCGCCGAAGGCCTTCCGTCGAGGAGAGGCGCCCGGAGGGCGCGAGGAGAACCTGCCGCCTCGGCGCCTCGGCGCGAAAATCGGGCCGGACGAACGGGGGGGATTGGGAAAGAGAGGGGGGGTACGAAATCTGCTGCATGCAGCTGGTCTCGGCCCCGCCGCCCGGCCCATGCCTCGATACCTGGGCGCCTCTGGCGCCGGGAGGCGCCTGGAAAATCAGCCACGTGGGCTGATTCTCAAATCCCCCCTTTGCTAATGGAGGATGACGATTAATAAATGACCGGGGGTCGTGTTCACGCGGCGGCGCCCGGGATGACGATTAGAAAAAACCGGCCGCGGGCTGGAAAACTATATTTTCTAATCGTTCTCCTCCAGTCAGAAAATTGTGCAGAAATGACAGAAAATTATTTTTTTAATCGTTCTCCCCCATTATTCTATGAATCGTCATCCCGCATTATCCCCCCTTTTCGCCCGACCCGAGAAAAAGCGAAGCGAGGGTGGCCTGCAGGACTTCGGGCTCTCCGCAGGGCGCCTCCGGCCCTCGAGCGGAAGCGTCGCGCCGCGGGCGCCGGCGAGGGCAGCGGCGCCGCGGGCGCGCCCCTGCGCACGCTGGTGGTCCTGCCGCCCTCGGCCAGGAGCCGCGGGGCCCCCAGCACTCTAGGCCTCCTAGATGGGGTCGGAGTAGGTGGGGTCGGAGGATCGCGCTGCATCGCCGACGCATCGCCGATGCGGCTCGATGTGGGGCCCGATTTGCTTCACGTCGACGTCGGCGATGCATCGCCGACGTCGACGATGCATCGCCGGTGCATCGCCGGTGCATCGCCGATGTATCGCCGATGTATGGGCGATGCGACGCGATCCTCCGACCCCACCTACTCCGACCCCATCGAAGAGGCTTCTAAACACTCAGAGGAGGAAAGCACACCGACGCCGCCGCTCGTCCTTGGAGAGAGCCCTCGGCGCCACGACCGGGGGTTCTCTTCGAGAGTCTCGTCAGAACGCGCCCTGGGAGCCAGGATCCCTCGGTTTCCCCACAGACCGTCTGATTACAGTCGGGGCGCTGAAGAAGGAACCCTTTTCGTTGGGGAGGGGCTCCGCGCTCCTTAAGTGTTTCGCAGCTTGCCTCAGGTTTCCCTTATGTTTTCGATCGGAAATCGAAGTTCAACTTATGGAAAAAAGGGGCCTCGTTTCTTATTTTGGGTTCCTTAGGTCAAGGCCCCGACTGTATGGCGTTCCAGACAGGGCCTCGCCTTCCGGTCGCCACGAAGGGAAGGGGTCCAGATGGAACGTGTTACGGGGAGTGGTGCCACGTTCTCGGCCTCATGGGGGCCCTTCCTGGGCCACGCGACGGGGGCCAGGGCTCGCTTCCCTCGGGGCCCTCACGCCGAATCTCAAGCTTCGAACGGAGGAGGCATCGCGCCCCTGGCAGGAGGTTGCCGGAAGCTGGCGGAGGCAAACCGGGGGCGGCCTCGGCGGAGGCAGCCGGCAGAAGCCAGGATTTCCCATCCAAGAGATGTCAACGCGGCTTGCTTCGGGGTTTCCGAACCAGCAGGGAGCCCGATGCCTCCGTGATCCCCAGGGCCCCTCTGTTTGGTGAGAGGATGGTTTTGCTGAGGTCCCGGAGGCCTCAGGTGCTCGATGCGTCTTCAGAGCCCCGAATCATCAGGGGTAACTCGGGTCAAGGTTAACTCGGGTTCGTTTTTCGGGAATCCGAACCCGAGTTACCCCGGACCCGAGTTATCCCAGATAATTCGGGCGTCCAGAGCCCCACATCATCAGGGGTAATTCGGGTCAGGGCTAACTCGGATTCCTTTTTCGGGAATCCAAACCCGAGTTACCCCGGACCCGAGTTACCCCGGATAACTCGGGCGCCCAACGTGTTTTTGATATAAATTGCTACACAGAGTCACACAAGGAACGCCCAGAGTCACAAAGCCGTTCGTTCACCCTTCAGTTGCGAGCTCCCCGTGGAAGGATCGATTTCGGTCCACTTGATCCGCGCTTCGACCTCGAGTTCAGCCCACCCGACCCGATTCGGTTCTGACATCAGACGAGCCGATGCGGCCTGGCATGGCGCTGCTGTGCACCTGGCGCAGCCGATCCGATTCGATGCCGACTCCGCGACGATGCAGGCTGATCCGGGGCACATGTCGGTTCGATCCGATTTACGGATTCGATGTCGATTGATTTTGCCCTCCCGGAAGGCAGAATTAGTCATCGGCCCTGTCATCCGTGAGGGCTTCGCCCCCTGCCGCCGGTCCCCTATCCCGGAGAATGCGCTATGCGAGAGCTATGTCATGAGGCCTGGGCGCCGTCGTGAAGCAGTATTCCGATACTGCTTCACGATACTGCCTCACGACGGCTTCACGCGAGGCCGATTCGTAATCGGCAAAACCAATTGACTTGTCATGGGAGCCTGACCCTGCCGATCTGCGTGAGGGGTGCCACCGAATGTCAAGCATGTTGCAAATCCCATATGTTTTTGGACCCCGCCGATCTGCGTGAGTGGTGCCACCGAATGTCAGAAATGTGGCAAATCCCTTGTGTTTTTGCACCCTGACCCCGCCGATCTGCGTGAGGGGTGCCACCGAATTTTAGGAATGTGGCAAATCCCATGTGTTCTTGGACCCTGACCCCGCCGATCTGCGTGAGCGGTGCTACCGAATTTCAGAAATGTGGCAAATCCCTTGTGTTTTTGGACCCTGACCTTGCTGATCTGGGTGAGGGGTGCCACCGAATTTTAGGAATGTGGCAAATCCCATGTGTTTTTGGACCCTGATCCCGCCGATCTGCGTGAGGGGTGTCACCGAATGTCAGACATGTGGCAAATGCTTTGTGTTTATGGACCCTGACCTCGCCGATCTGCGTGAGGGGTGCCACCGAATGTCAGAAGTGTGGCAAATCCCATGTGTTTTTGGACCCTGGCCTTGCTGAGCTGCGTGAGGGTTGGCACCGAATGTACCGAATCTCAGACATGTGGCAAATGCTTTGTGTTTATGGACCCTGACCCCGCCGATCTGCGTGAGCGGTGCCACCGAATCTCAGAAGTGTGGCAAATCCCATGTGTTTTTGGACCCTGACCCCGCCGATCTGCGTGAGGGGTGTAAATTTTGATCCACCCCAGCAATTCAAACAATACGATTTCTCCGGGGTAAAAGTGCCCGTTTTGGGCCTCCCCCCATCGCGCGGTCCATCAACAAGGAACAGTAAGCAGCAAGAAGTCAACAAGGAACAGTAAGCAGCAAGAAGCAGAATCGTAACAGTGAAAACTGGAAGCTGGAACTGGTACAGGAAACTGCGAACCTTCGGCCTACAGCCTGGTGGCCCCAAAAGAGGGCCGGCGGATTTATTTGCTGATAAATGGCTCAGCCTGGCTGCCTCCGAAATCCAACTTAATCTGGCCTCAGCCTGCCTAGCCTGGGGCTTGAGCTTGCCTGATCCAGCCCAGCAGCTCCGCAAGCCAGCTTGCCACTCGCTTCCTGCCAGTCGCCATCCAGCTTGCCAGCCACCTGGGAGCACAGTCCCATCACCCCGAGTCACCTCCGAGCCCCCAGACACCCAAATACTGGGTATTTTGGAGTCTCGTAGGAGCACGATCCCATCACCCCGAGTCACCTCCGAGCCCCCAGACACCCAAATGCTGGGTATTTTGGAGTCTCGTAGGAGCACGATCCCACCACCCCGAATCACCTCCGAGCCCCCAGACGCCCAAATACTGAGTATTTTGGAGTCTCGTAGGAGCACGATCCCACCACCCCGAGTCACCTCCGAGCCCCCAAGACGCCCAAATGCTGGGTATGTCCTCGAGCCTCGGAGCCCAGACCTCTCGACCCCTCGAGTCGTCCCGAGTCGTCTCCAGGAACGGCATCTCGTCCCGAGTCGACCCGAGTCGACCCTCGTGTCGTCCCTCGATCCCTCCAGGAACCGGCATCTCGTCCCGAGTCGTCTGTCCCACGGCCCTGGGGCCCGGCACCGGTGCCCAGACATACCGGGAACGCAGAAAGCAACAAATCGGACAGTGGGACGTGTACATTGCAGTCAACGCGCCTAGTAATGACGCGTGCTTTCATCTTGGGTGCCCTTGGGTCCTTGCCTCTGCGGCCCGTCCTATGCCGTTTTCACTGCTCGCCCGCCGCCCAAAAAATCCCAACTTCGGCCTCCAAGGGTCTTGCGTCCTAACCTCGCGTCCTTACTATACGTTTTGACTGTATACTTTTTCCCCGATGCTCTGGGGAAGCAACGAAACATGTATACACCAGCGTCCCGTAGACAGCAGGATCCGCTCTCCAGTGCAAGTTCCAATGCAGGGCGCGAAGAAGCGTCGGTGAGTATAGAGTTCGGTTCTCTAACATATGCGATACCGTCAAGGCTCTGGAGGCCTGGACCCAGGGGTCAAAAACAGATGGGCCTGTCCTGGGGTGCATGGGTCTGGGCAAAACCCGGAGGCGGATCCAGCCGCGGCGACGAGGAGCCCGCCGGTGGCCCGAGAGGGACGACGAACGCCCAGCATCAGGCTAGCTTGACCCTCGACGGCACGGGGTCGGATGTTGGGCCCCTCCTAGGAGGCTCCTGGCCAGGCCCGTGGGCAGCTGCTTCGGGGGGATCATCCGCCTCGGCGACGGCGACAGGAGCCGGCGCCGCTCTCGGCCCGGACGCCCTGCGGTGGGGGGGGGGGGGGGTTCGGCTTCCGATCGAGGTGGGGTTTCCGAGGGTGGTTCAGCGCAGAGGGAAGGGGACGTCCAGGACGGAAGGGGGTCGAGGCTCGGGGAGGGGACTCGCCCCCCTCGGGGGGGCCTCTGGAAGGCTCCGCGTCACCGCGGCTGGATTCTCCTGGCAGTTCTGGCCAGGACGGAACCCACGACGGGTGCGGGGGCTGATTTTAGGGGAACAAAAAGTGACATAAACATAAACACTCGGAGGTCCGCGCGGATTTCTCGGATCGGCGCTGGACCCCCCTCCCTGGCGCACGGAGCGCGCCAGGGGCGGCGCCGGAGGCGCCGCCAGGGGGGCCCCAGCGCCGATCCGAGAAATCCGCGCGGACCTCAGAGTTTTTATGTTTATGTCACTTTTTGTTTCCCTATGGAGGCTGTTCGTCGTCTTCGGTATCCAGGCCCTGAGCGCTCCCCTGGCCCCGGCGGGACGAAAGCCCGGCCTCATGGAGGGCCCCGTGGTCCAGGATCCGCCACCATGCCCCGTCTTCCGTCACGCCCAGATCCCCTCTTTCTGTCCCGCGTTCATGCAATGGAGGTGTTGAGTCCTTCGTGGGTTGCTGGGCCCCCCCCCTCCTCGACCTCCTCCTCGACCTCCTCCTCATCCTCGACCTCGACCTCCTCGACCTCCTCCTCGACCTCCTCGACCTCCTCCTCATCCTCCTACTCATCGAGCGAGCCCGCCCGAACGCCTCCCCCCCCTCCGCTTGCACGAGCCACGGCCGGAGGGCGGGCGGCGGCGGGTTAGGGGGGGGGCTCCTTTATAAAAAAGGGAATGCCCAAGATGTTCCGCCGATGAGTCCCGGGTGGAAACTTGAGCCAAACCAGCCCTTGACACCGATGTTGATCCAGCGTCTCCCGCCCGTATGAGCAAGGATGAATTCCGCAGAGTTCCAGGCCACCACCTTATGGAAGGTAGTCCTGAGATTATCCGTCACCCTGGGCTTCCTCTGTGGCGCTTCCGAGGCCCTGGGGTTGCCAACAAAAGGGCTCAGGATGAAGAGCTGGTCCTGGCAGACGCTGGAGTCCAGGGCCCGTTTCCATCGAGGCCTCTTTCCTGACAGTGACAATCCTCGCCCGTTGTTTCCCCATCTCCTCCTCATCATGATCCTCCTCCTCCTCCTCCTCCTCCTCCTCCTCCTCATCATCATCATCATCATCCCCGTCATCATCACCATCCTCCCCCTCCTCATCATAATCATCATCAACATCTTCATCCTCCTCCTTTTCCTCATCCTCCTCATCATCATCGGCATAATCAGCATCAGCATTATCATCATCATCAGCATCATCATCATCAGCATCATCATCATCCGCTACCTCCCTGTACTCCTCCCTCTACTCCTCCCCATTATCATTGGCCCTACATCTTTAGTTCTCCTGACATGGGCGAACATTGGCCGCAGCGTCAGCATCGGTCCTCCTACTCATCCTCCTCGTCCTCCTCCGCCTCCTCCATGTCCTCCTTCGTCGGAAGGGGAAAGGAGAGGGGGCACATCAGTGGCAGCATTGGCCTCGACAAGGACAACCTGCTCCTGAGCCTTCTCCTTTCTCTCATCTTCCTGCTGCTCATCCGCCTGCTGGTTATATACTTTTGCTGGTGCTTCGATTCCTCCTCCTCCTTCGGCCGGCTGCGATTCCAGCTTGTCGGGCGCTTTGCGTAAGCGAAGCCCGTCAGTGGTCGACGCCGACCCCTCAGGAGCGGCCGTTGCTTGGTGCTTGGTGCCCTGTCCTGCTGCTGCTCCTCCTGTTTCTCCTCTTCCTGATGCTCCTCCTGCTGCTGCTCCTCCTGCTCGCTGTCCTCCTCATTATTGGCAGTGTGAGCTCGTCCGCAGCAGTTGTTGACAGTGGTTGCGATGACGAGTTGTCTAATATATTGCTGTCTTCCTGCTGCTCTTCGGGTCCTCCTCCTCCGTCCTCTTCTCTTTTTGCTGCTTCTCCTGCTGCTTCCTCCTTTCCCTTCTCCTCCAGCCCTGGCCCGAGTCTCGAATCGACAATCGGCTCCTTGAGGGGATAACTCTCCATGTTGTACGTCTTCCATCCCCTCATCCACCACCCCCCCTGCCATGCTGTGTCGCTCGGTGGCAAAGGGGATGCCAGCCGCACTACGAGGCTGAGAACCCCCGTGTGACATTGGCGGGCTTGGCAAATGCATGCGCTCCAATTGCGCGAGCGCCGGCCGCTCGGGCCAACCATTCCCCTCCTCCTCCTCCTCCTCCTCCTCCTCCTCCTCCTCCTCCTCCTCCTCCTCGGGACTTTTCAGAGAGGTGCGACTGGAGGTCCCATTCCCCAGCTTGAAGGCACAGGGTCTCGGGGGAAAGCAGCCCAGGGTCCTCCCCAGGCCATGGGATCGCCAAGAGACCCCAGCGAATGCCCAAACAGAGATATGGTGACTCCTGGGGTGCGTAGGCGCTGATGACCCATTTGATTTGTTCGATCGAGTGAAGCACTGTGCGAGAAGCCATGTGTAGCGATGTGATGGACGCCAGGACGACGGAGCTTGATTTTGAGTGGCATCATTCTCTACAGTCGAAGCAGAAAGTGGCTGAGGGTGGAAAATGACTAGGGATGACGGCGGAGGGGGCTGCGGCGATGGGGGTAGACAGGGAAACTATTTCTGAGAACGCGGCGGCGCATGGCGACTGGCGACCCAGTTGCGACTCGCCCGCGATCCACCGACCCGCGACCCGCCCGCGAAGTACCCGCGACCCTTCCGCAACCCACCCGCAACCCACCTACATTGGGTTGGCCAAGAACTGGCGCCTGCGGCGGGTTTAAAGATTTGGCGCCTGCGGTGGACTTTTTGATTGCCGACGACCCGCCGCCTCCCGCCTTGTCACTCTTAGCAGCAATTGCGAAAGCTGTGTTTCTGAGGAGGCGGCGGCGCATAGAAAGGCGTGGCCCCCCTGACGGGGTCATGGGGCGGTAGATGATGGTGATGGCAACGGTGATGCTGCGGAAGATACTGATGCAGATGATGGCTATGAGGATGTTTACGCCAGCACTTCGGGGTGGGCTTGTCTTATCACAAGAGCTTGGTCATGAGTAGTGTAGCCGATATAATCCAGACCAGTGTGGGTCAGACGCAACAGCCTCGACCAGCCGAGCTGCCAACGAGTTGGCTCGAGTAAAGGCGGCTGCGGTGCGATGGTGCTGATGATGCTGATGATGACGATGACACTGAGCCCCTCAAAAACGGCGAGATCTATGAAGCCGTGTGCAAAAGTGAAGCTGAGAGAGTCCCGATGGCATCTTGCGGTCGACCTCCAAAACAAGAGAGCCGTCCGAGGCATGCTCGACACAATGCACGCACGAACGCTCAAGGGGCATCCTACCCGACATTACACATCGCATACAAGCTAACCGGCAGCTGACCACCAGCGGGCGGGGAAGTTGCCGCAGTCCCCCTTGGCGAGATTATGTGTCTTTGACTTTCTTTCTGGCAACGCTCTAGATTGAAACGCTCTGTGGGACAAGCGACTCAGGATTGAGCTTTGGTCCCGCGGATACCTCCGGGGACCACGACCGGTTTCCACCAGGACCCGTTCACATACCCCTGACGTCGTGTCGCAACGTGGCCACCCAGAAGTCCCGAACTGTTCCCTAGGTTTTGCTTTTCAGCCTGAGTTGTTTTTGCTGGCGAACCTGGGTCTCATTCCACACCGCCAGAGGCAAACAACTGCTAACTATATGCGTCGTGTCGCTTCAGTCCCCCCTCGGATCTGTTCCGAGATGCGTTCTGCCAAGGATTTCGAGGCGCATCCAGACGTGGTAACGCAGCGCCCCAGGAGGCCCGAAAAGGGCGAACTGAATTCTAGGCTTTCCAGATGGGTCCGAGTAGATGGGGTCGGAGCATCGCGCCGCATCGACGATGCATCGGCGATGCGGCCCGACGTGGATCCCGACCTTCTCCACGCCGACGTCGCCGATGCATCGCCGACGTCGGCTGTGCATCGGCGATGCATCGGTCCGACACCACCTACTCCGACCCGATGTGGGAGGCCTCTACACTACACATGGAAAGCAACCTCTAACCTCGATGTAGGTTTGGTTTTCCTCGTCTCACATTTCTGTGGGAAATGCGCGGCAAGTGGCAGGAGCCAGTGCGTGGTCGAGGCGCTCGGCAACGGTGCGGAGCCCTCGCAGACCGTGGCGCCCTCCCTCGGCGACCGGATGCCGACCCCGAGGTCTGTTGTGTCGGAGAGTCTGAGGGGAAAGTCGTCCCGATGCCGATGCCCGTCCCCGCGTTCGCCTTCCTGGGCCCCGGGGGGGAGGGGAAACCTGGTCGCCACGGCTCGATTCGCCTCGCCATCCCGATATGTCGCGGAGCCTGAGGTTGAAAGGCATGCCGATACCGATGCCCTTCCCCCGCGTTCGCTGTCCTGGTCCTCGGGGGGGAGGGGTGGGGCTCGTCGCATCGGCTCGGTTCGCCTCGGCATTCTGGTCAGAATCACGAGGCACTCCTGGGAGATGTCCAGTGAGTCGCGGTATCAGCATCGGTCCGTTCCCCCGAGGAAGGAGATGCAGTCGGCCCTCTTCGACAACATGGAACCTTTCTATCGCTCTGACCTTAGTAGCAGTCGCAATATAAGCGATCTCGTTCTCACCCGTCTCGTCCGTGGCCTCCCGACCAATGTCCACCACACACCTCACATGCACAAGCAGAAGCACTGGGCTCCATGGGGTTCGTTGGCAGCGCTGCGAAATCAGTGCAGGCCTGTCGGTTGTCCTTCTCGGACAGCTTATGTTTCATCCGTTGGGAATGAGGGTGAGGACACGGTCCCCGTCTGACCGCCTGTGCGTGGCTCCTCCTGGACCCGCCAAGACGGCCTGCCCCGAGCTCGCTGTGCGCTTCCGCAGCGCAGCCTTCGCAGCACCCTGGCGGCGACAGGGTGTACCTTCTAATGGCAGGGGAACGGCAAAGAAGATGAGCATCAGCAGTCGGAGGTCCAGCGCCCTGGCGGCGCCTCCGCCGCCGCCCCTGGCGCGCTCCGCGCGCCGGGGAGGGGGGGTCCAGCGCCAGTCCAAGAAATCCGCGCGGAGCGCCACACAAGTTTATGGTCTGATCGCGTTTCTTCTTCGTCTGTTCTCCTCGGTCGCACGACGCATGTTCCGCCCCAGCCTCCCTCCTGGGCATCTTGCGCCTCACGCTGCTCTTTCCTGGTTCGGCCCAGTGGCCACTGCGTGACCGTCGGCGTGCCGTATTCGCGACCACCCTCGCACGCCTTTGAGAAGTGTTCCGGCCCACTGGCCGAAAGAGCGCCAGCGGATCCCCGAGGAGTCGAGATTTCACCCGAGAAGAACCGCCAATCAGTGGATGGCTTGAAACATAGTGATATGGATATTGAGATCCATGGTGAGATTGATGGTGAGATCGGTAGCGGCATCGACAGGTAGGACGATTGTATGGTCGATCGTGAGACCGATCGTAGAGTCGATATTATGAGATCGATAGTGAAATCGATCGTGAGATCGCTCGTGCGATCTCTAGTGAGATCGACTGTGAGATCGATCGTGAGATCGGTTGTGAGATCGATAGAGGGATCGATAGAGAGGTTGGTAATGAGATCGATGGTGAGACCGATCGACAAGAAGATCAACGGGGAACCTGGGAAACCGGCAACCCCGCCGCCCACCGAGATCGGCCTGGAACCCGGGAGCCCAGCCGCCCACCGGAATCGGCCCGGCATGTTCGCCAAATGTGTCAACATCCGCCAGGACCCCTTCAGTGCAGCATTGGTTGGGGAATGTGCTACTCGACCGCCCCCATCCCCCCCTTCAGAGGCTGGCGGCGAGCTGGAGGGGGAGGTGAGAAGTGCCGGGTCTTCTCAGCAGGCTCGGAACCCCCCTGGACTTCCGAGAAGCTCTCTGGGCCTTCCCCGAAGACACGACAGACTTCTCAGAAGGCGCGAGGGCCTGCGAGAAGCCGCGCCGTCTTCTGAGGAGGCCGTCTCCTCACTTCCCCCCTCGCTCGCCGCCGAAAAAGGGTCTGCTCCCCCACCCATCCACCCCTTGGCGTTGGCGCCGGGGGGGGGGGCGTCCCCGGCCGCCGCTGCTCCGTGGGCGACGGAGGGGGTGGGGCGGGGCGCGCTCCGGCTCGTGGGTGGGGGCGCTTGCGGTTTTTGACAGGGGGCCGGGTGAGGCAGGTTTTGGGTTCGGGGTGCAGGTTGGCGTGGGGCCAGGGTTTAGGACAAGGGTTAGAGTGTCAATGCGAAGGGATTCAGGTGTCCGCTCTCAGGGTTAGTGTTCAGGCTCATGATTATCATGATTCGGGGGCCAGGGCTAGGGTCAGCGCGTGAGAGGCTATGATGTGGAGTAGAAGGTTTTGCCTCAGAACTTTGGGTTACGCCTCGGGTGTCAGGGCGCGGATATATTAGGCACCGGGGAAGATAATTAGTTTTCTATGGGTCGGTTGTAGGTGTCAGGGGTCAGGGTTTGGGCTTGCAGTTGTGGCTAGTGGTTATGATTAGGATAATGGTATTGTGGTTTAGGGTGTAAGGTTGTTGCTTCAGGTTGTGGGTTTGCGGTAATGGTGGGGGGGGGTTAGGGGGTTAGGATTATGTGTCGTGTTTAGGGTCAGGGTTAGGCTGTTTTGGCAAGGGCGTTAGGCGCAAGAGAGGAGCTTCAGGGTTTTAGCGGTGGGCGGAGGATGTTTGGGCTAGAAATGGGCATGAAGGCACGTAAGCTTAAGGTGTTAGTGCTCAAGGTGTCAAGGGTTCGAACCAGGTGTTTTGACTTTGGCTGATGGTTGAGACTAAACTGTTAGGGATAATGAGTTAGGGTTGTTGTGTTGAGGTGTTCGGATGAGGCTTAGTGCTCAGGATTCGGATGAGGGCTAGGGGGAGTTGCAGGTTAGGGTTCGAGGCCAGGTTTGGTAAACGAGTTCGGGTTAGGGTATGAGCGTTCAGTTTACAGGGCTCCTCTTGCTCGCAGCGCCCAATAGTCTAAGTACACGGGTCCTCTTCGGCAGGCTTAATTGTGGGAGCGTTTAGCCAACCCGAGCAAGTTGTTCAAAGACGCAAGAGGTGCAGCGCTTTCCAAACCCCCAGTCGCATTGTTGGCAACTTCTCTCACTAAAGCTTGCTAGGGTGTAGGAGCCTCAAAATGCTGACGGGTCCTCATCGCTTCCACAAGGTTTTCGATCTTGCCTTGGGCATGCCGCAGTGTCTGCAGTTTTCCAGGCGATGTCCGGCGCTCTGGTGGCGCTTGCCAAGTCCTCCCCAGCGTGTCCTAAAGCTCTCCAGTGTTTCCCGAAAGCATGCCAGAGCGCCCGAAGCCCGACTCAGCGCTCCCCAAGCGCGTCCAAGAGCCTCCAACGCGCCCCGCGCGTCTTTAATGTGGCGTAGGGCATGTGAGCATTTTCAGAGGCGACTTTCTGGTTGCAAAACCTTGATTGTCATAACAGAGGTTATCGGGAATTCGCACTTCCCCGACTGTGGGGAGCCCTGAGTTGTATGGTCAAGGCGCTGTGGCAGCCATCAGTCGGGTCGATTGACAGCCCAGTCTTCCATGGGCGTCATGGAGGATATGCGACGGGATGGCCGATGAGTAGCGGGGTGACTGGAGGCACAGGTGCTACGATCAGGGTTTTCTGTTCAGGCTTGGTGTCGGGGTCGGGCCAGAGGTTCCGCGTTTGGGCGCTCGGTTTGTGAAAGGTCGAGCATGAGAGCCAGTGCTTAGGATGTGTAAGGGGGGGCGGCAGGGAGCCCAGACACCGCCCCGTAGCGTATGGGGGGCGGAGGGGGAGGCAGGCGGCGGACGCTGGATCGGAAGGAGGAGCGGCGGCGGACGATGGAGCGGAAGACGGGACGGGGGGGGGGCAGAGGAGGAGGAGGAGGAGGAGGAGGAGGAGGAGGAGGAGGAGGAGGAGGAGGAGGAGGAGGAGGGGAGGAGGAGGGAGGGGAGGGGGGAGGAGGAGGAGGAGGAGGAGGGGGGAGGAGGAGGAGGAGGAGGAGGAGGAGGACCGCTGCTCTCCTGACGGCCCAGCAGCGCCAGCAGCTCGGCGGTCCTGTAGCTTACCGGAAACATGTCTGCACTCCCTTGCGCCTCGTCGTGTGTCCGTGTCTCGTATTTCACCGCGCCATCCTTCATGCATCCCTGGGCCTGCAGCAAGGGTCCTAAAACTAATATCTACATACCACATGTGCTACACAGCTCGTTCGCACACACACACACACACATATATATATATATATATATATAGATATATATGCTCGCCCCCCCCCAGCACCCCCCAACGACGGATTATCTTCCTCCTCCTGCTCCTCTTCATCCTCCTGGTCCCTCCTCCCCCTCGTGGGAGCACCCTCCTCATCGTCATTATCTTCCTCCTCCTGCTCCTCTTCATCCTCCTGGTCCCTCCAAGGAGGGGAGGGCAGGGAGCGGAGGGAGGGGGGGAGGGGGATTGCATTGCAGTGGATTGCGACCGATTGCGTTGCAATCGTTTGGTTGCAATCGATTGGATTACAATCGGTTCGATTGAAAAGGATTGGACTGCAAGGGAGGGAGAGGAGGGAGGGGGGAGAGTGGAGGGGAGGAAAGGGAGCGGAGGGAGGGGGGAAGGGGATTGCATTGCAATGGTTTGCAGTCGATTGCGTTGCAATCGTTCGGATTGCAACCGATTGCATTGCAATCGATTGGATTGCAATGCAATGAGGGACACGGGGCAGCCTCGAGCGACATGCGCAATGCGTAGGATGTCTGGGCAGTCGTGAATGGGGCTGCCTCGAGCGACACGCGCAGTGCGTAGGATGATGATGAGAAGAACGCGTAGGAGGAGGATGAACAGGAGGTGGAGGAAGGGGAGAGGAGGAGTAGGAAGAACAGGAGGAGTGAGACTCCCAATGCGTAGCTTCTTGGGGCACTCTTGGGCCGATACAGGGTTGCCGTCCACATGCTTCTTGCGGAGGCCTCTTGGGCATTTCCGAATCCTCATGGAGAGGCTCAGTGGCCACTTGGAGCCTTACGTGCGCCACGGGGCCTTGACGACAAAGTCGCGGCGAGACCGCGAACAGTGGAAACGCTGCCTGAAGGACCTCGTGAACCGTCCTCTGAGGAGTATCATCAACTTGCTCAAGAAAGATGGCGTCTTGCCCGAATGACGCGGCGTGACTTGCCCGTACTGCCAGACATCAACGCTCGGCCCTCTCAAGGACTTCGGGGACAAGAAGGGTGGGTGGGCGCACAAGTGCAAGGGCAGGGACTGCAAGCGCTACGTTTTGCCCCACGCCTTCCACCCTATCTTTCGCACCGGTACTGGGCAGTCCCATACTGGGCTTGGTGACCAGGCTGCGATCTTGTTCTGTGCTGTATCTGGGTGCGCGCAGACGACAGTTCGCTACTTGCTGAAAAAGAACCACAAGTTGGCGGAGTCCATGTACAAGTCCCTGTGCGATGCCAGAGCCAAGTACGTGCAGCAGGAAGAGAAGAATATCCGCTTCGGCGAGGATGTCGAGTGGCCCGACGTCGAAGCGGACGAGGTCGACGTTGCCAAGGGCGAGGACCCAGACGCCACCTCGCGCACCAAGAAGCCAGTTGCGTGGGAGCAATGGGGCGGGATTGTCCAGCGCGGAGACCCTAAGTCGCTCGTGCTCTTCAAGCTTCGCCCAGAGAGAACAGTGCGGAGGGCGCCAGGCCCAGGCCCGATCCGCAAGCGCGACTGGGCCCCGCTGGCCAAGAAGTGGCTCAAGCAGTGCAAAGTCACACTCCACACGGACGGCGCCCGCTCGTGCAAGACGCGCGTTGACGGCGTGGTCCACGACTGGGTCGTCCACAAGAAGAAGCGCGTGAAGGCCGCTGGTGTTTGTGTGTGCGTGGGTGGGTGGGTGGAGGGGGGGAAGGTGGCCATCCCTCGCCGGCGCCGATTGCGGCGGTGCCCTTTTCTACCGCAGGGTCAATTGGCTCGACCACTTGACCAGAGGTACGAATTTGGGCACTGCCAGCGTCGGCGCAGGCAAAGGACAGTCGGCTTCTCTGCCGCCCTCGCAGGTGAACGGCAAGTACGTTTGGGTGAAGCCAGCCTTCGCGAAGGTCAGGTATCACGACCTTGCTTGCAGTGGATGCTCTGACAAGAAGAAGCGCATCTGGGTGAAGTGCGGGGCCCAGATCATTGACCGCGTCTGGGGCGGGTTGAGGCGCCACCTTGGCCCAAGCCGCAAGATGAACTCCCGCGCGCTGGCAAACAGGGTGAGGTCCTTCCAGTGGTGCTACTGGAGCAGGGGCGAGGACCTCTGAGCGCAGACGGGCAATATGCTTACCGCACTGTTCCGGCAGCAGCACGAGTGAGCGATCCCCTCTGTCGCGGCAGAGGCACTGAATATCTCCGTCTCACGCGCCAACTACCTTGGCGCCGCACTGCTTCCCGCGCGGCGAAATTTTGGGCCAGCGCAGCGAGAGCGCCCAAGCGATATGCGTGCGGATGTGCATATTGGTTCTGGGGCCGTCGAACCAGCATGGTCTGAGAGCATTGAGGGTGTCTCCACAATGGTGTGACCAGACGTAGCCGTCGCCGTCGTCGCGTCGTCGCGTCGTCGTCGTCGACCTTGCCGCCGCCATCGCGTGGCCCCCATCCTTGCCCCCCGCCGCGCCCCGCCGCCGCTTGTGATCAGGCCTTTTCAAGTTTCTCGCCTCCCCGTTCATCTCTGGCCTGTGCGCGCAGGCCTCTCATAGACCCCTGGCGCCGCGGCCATTGAGGCCGCGAGGTCGCTGGCCGCGTTCGCCCGAGATCTCGCGCACTTCCGCGGGGCAGCTTCGGCGCGACGGCGCAGGGCAGCCAGCGGCCAGTGCTGCCCCGCGCGATCTCGATACATAGCTACTTTCACGGTGCGCCTCACAACATCCTGTACTATCGTTTTGAGGTCACATCGAAATTGCGCCCGCATGCTCCCAGCAAAACACGAGATCAGGCAGGGCGACAGTTCGCCCCCAATGCTCTCGCAGACAGGCGACGCTCACTTCGACCGCCCTTTCTCGCGATCGTTCCGACGCGGTTGCGCCTCCCACCCCGCGTCAGCAGCCGCGCACATTTAGGCCCAAGCTTACTCGCTATTCGCCAGGCTTACCCGACTTCTCGCGCACCGCCGCGCCGTCCGCCATGCCGAAAGCGTTCCCGATGGAGGCCGCAAGCCTGCCCGCATGCGGCATGAAGTCCTTGGGGGGTGTCCATGGAGAAAGACGGCCACACCAACGATGTCATGGTTGCGGCTTGGAACAAGGCGAAGTCCATGCCTGTCTTCGAAATCCGCGCGAAGCCTGAGGTGGTGGGCCACGTGGACAGAGCGGGCACTTCGACCGTCTAGGACCTCCCCATCAAACAGTGGAGCTACTCGGCGAGGCGCCCCATCAAGGGCTTCATCGACGTCATCACGAGCAAGGAAGACCTCTCGGGCGTCAACTGGGACGCTGTCAAGGAGGCAATGGCTGAGGGGCGGTACGACGCCATGCCCCCACCCCTCGGCATTTCTGGTGCAGGCCAGAGCGACGCCCCTTGCGTGATGAGCATGCATGTGTCGAAGTCCTTGCCAGACGGCGACTGCACGGTTGTGAAGGTGTTCGCTTTCCTTGGCGGTGGCGAGCCGATGGCGGCGGTCCTCGAGAGGATTGTCGTAAGCGACCCGTGCGTCTTGGACTACCGCCCCGATACCTTCAACGCGGTTCGGACGTTGCAGGTGCTGCTGGAGGACATGGGCGGGTTGTTGTTCCGCTACTGGCAGCTGCCGAAGGCCAAGGTAGTTGCGGACGCCGACCCGAGCGAGGTCGCGGAGAAGAAGGCTGCTCTGGACAAAGCGTGGGACTTCGTGCAGGCGGAGGCCCCCCGGGGAAATTCTGACGGTCAGAAGCTGTTGTGGGTGGAATACCAATTCGTGGACCCTGAATCGCCTTTGTACAACATGAAGCGGGGGCTCGGGAACAGCCTTCTGAAGTGCATCGCAGACCGTGACCACTTCGCCGTCAAGGAGGACTACTATCCTCTCCTGAAGTCTGACATCCGCAAGGAATACCAGCCGATGGCAAACAGGATCTTGCTGGCGCTGGCGGGCAACACGCTGCTCACGATAGGGGAGGCTGGCTTCGGGAAGACGCCGTTCATGTATATCCTCGCCATGGCGACTGCGAGGCACAATGCAGACGTCGCTAATGAACGCCGCCCAGGTCGTGCCACGGCTGCTGTGCGGGTTTCCGCAGAGATGGACTTCTTCCGCGGGGAGGTCGGGGGGCCTTGGGCGCCGTGCATCTTCGATGACGGCGACCTCGCGGATCAGCGGCCTCGCGTCCTCAAGGCTTTCCTTGACCCCACGCAGGCTGAGGCCATGACCTACGCGCGCTGGGGGGCCGCGAAGTTCGTGCGCGGCCAAGCGAGGCGGCTAGCGAAGTCGAAACGTTGGGCCTTCCAGGTTTTTTATATAAAAAGAATGACTGTCAGGTTTTGTTGTCTTTTTTCCAGAGAAAAGCGAATCCAGGGCGTCGGTCGGCCCCGCGCTTCGTCTTTGCCCATGTTTGGTGGGGGCAACGAGTGCAATTCGAGCGCTGCACCAACTGCCGAGCAGTGGGCGCTCGCGGCGACGGCACCCGATGCTGCGAAGCGGACTACTGGCATCTTGGTGGACATGATTCGGCCCGCCTCCCCAAAGGGCATGTCCGGGATCATCGTAGGGGCCATGCTCAAGCGGTGCAATGTCGCCCTCAACGCAAAGGAAGATTTCTTCTTCAGGCCCGCTGGCAAGGACTCGGTCGTTGAGAAGCTGCCCCTCATGAGCAGCTACATCACGGCCGAGGCGGGCAAGATCCTGACGCGGTTCCTCAAGCACAAGAAGCGCCGCGACCAGGAGGAGCACGACAGGCTCCTCGCCTTCGAGAAGAAGGAGGTGCTCAAGCTCATGGCTGCGTCGCGCGCAGCAGCGGGCGCGGGCGACGGTGGCGAGGATGGCGCCGATGGCGCCGCCGCCGCCGCGAGCAGCGCCCCAGCCGGCGCCGCGGCGCCGCGGGAGGCAGGCGCGGCGGGCGGCGCGGAGACCGCGCCCAACGACGGCGGGATGTCCGACCGCGGCGGCGGCGCCGACGCGTGGGCCGACCCCGCGGACGAGGAGGGCGTGTTCGGCTTCGGCGGCGACATGCGGGGGCCCGAGTTGTCGCCCCCCAAAAAGCTGACGGCCGCGCGGGACGCCCACGTGAGGGAGATCATCAACTCCGAGGCCAAAGTGCTTATGATGGTGCCGTGGCAGGCGGGTGCTGCTCCTGGATCGAGCGGCGACGCGAGTGCGCCGAGTGGCGCGGCTGCGCCCGCGGACGCCGCGCCCGCCGTGCAGCCCCCGATCGTCGGCTGCCACGGCGCGCTCTCGGAAGAGGACCATCGGGAGCAGGTGGCGATCTTCCGCGGCCTCGCCAAGACCCACCACGGCGCGCACGAGGACCTGGTCACTCCGCCGCGGAAGACCAGGAGGACGGGTCTGGCCTGCGGCGGGCCGCTCTCCCCCGTGGACATCCAGGAGCAGCAGGCGATTTTCGCATCCATTGTGGCGCAGGCGCACGGCGAGACCATCGAGGTTGCCGACGATAGCGTCGACTTGGAAGCCGAATTGAAGACGCTCCTCGATGGCGTCGAGGCGGAGCGCGTTGGCGGCGCGAGCGAGCTTCCAGGTGACCTTACGGACTGATCCAGCGGCAGCTGGCCTGGCGAGTGACGCGAGAACGCACAGGCGATATGTGCGCAGCGACGCATATTGCTTAGGACGGCCGAAGCGAGCTGATGTGAATGCATTCAGGTCTATGCTTGTTCGCTTTCCAGATGTAGATGCCTTCCGCGTTGCGATATGTTGGGCGGGTGTCATAGAAATGCCCATGCGAAATGTGCGCGGACACGCATATTGATTACGACGGTTGTGAACTGTGCGAAACAGCACCATCTTCAGTTGATCCTGTTACTCATCATTCCTCCTCTCGCCGTGCTTCCCCATCTCGCAGATGCCCCTTTTCTTGGGCCCCTTTGTCAACAACCCCCCCACCCCCCCGCTGCATTGCAATTGCAGTGCGTTGCAATCACATTGCAGCGCATTGCATTGCATTGCGATCGCAGTGCATTGCGTTGCACTGCATTTCGATCGCATTGCGTTGCATTGCACTGCAATCGCATTGCGTCGCATTGCTTTGGAGAAAGAGGGACGGGTTGAATAATTATTGCTGCATTCTGATTGCAATCATACTGTGATCCTGGCGGGTTCGGTAGGAGGAGGAGGAGGAGAAGGAGGAGGAAGAGGAACAGGAGGAAGAGGCGGAGGAACAGCAGGAGGGTGAGGATGAGGAGGACGAGGATGAGGAGGGCGAAGAAGAGGATGAGGATGAGGAGGATGAGGGGGATGAGGATGAGGAGGAAGAAGAAGAGGATGAGGATGATGAGGATGAGGGGATGAGGGTGAGGAGGATGAGGATGAGGAAGGGGAGCAACAACAGCAACAGCATCAGCATGGCAACGAAACCGTGCTATTCACATTTTTTTTTTGGGGGGGGGGTTCGGTCAGGGAGGCAACCAAACACTGCTATTCACATTTTTTGGGGGGGTTGCTTTGGTTTTCAGAGACCCACAAGCATGCCCAGGGGGTGTTGTGGAACGCCAGAAACCAAACAAAAACTTGTGAAGAGCATGGCCACCAAACACTGCTATTCACATGTTTTTTTTGGTTTTCTGGCGGACAGAAAACAACCAAAACAACATGTGAATAGCCTGGTTTCGTGGCCGTGCTCCCACCAAATACTGCTATTCACATGTTTTTTTTGTTTTCTGGCGGACCGGGAAAAAAACAAAAAAACATGTGACTAGCATGGTTTCGTGGCCATGCTCTCCCCAAACACTGCAATTCACAAGTTCTTGTTTGGTTTCTGGCGTTCCACAACACCCCCTGGCCATGCTTGTGGATTTGTGAAACCCAAAAAAAAACCTGAGAATAGCAGTGTTTGGTTGCCTCCCTGACCGAAAACACAAAAAACTGTGAATGTCATGGTTTCGTGGCCGCGCTCTCACCAAATACTGCTATTCACATGTTTGTTTGGGTTTTCTGGCGGACCGAAACAAAAAAAACATGTGAATAGCATGGTTTCGTGGCCATGCTCTCCCCAAGCACTGCAATTCACAAGTTTTTGTTTAGTTTTTGGCGTTCCACAACCCCCCCTGGGCATGCTTGTGGATCTCTGAAAACCAAAAAACCAAAACAGCCTGTGAATAGTAGTGTTTGGTTGTCTCCCTGACAGAAAAAAACAAAAACAAAAAAACATGTGAATTGCATGGTTTCGTGGCCACCCTCCTCCCGCAAGTCCTTTTGGCGAAGGAAGAGGAGGAGGAAGAGGAGGAGGAGGAGTTAAGGAAGAGGAGGAAAGAAGGAGGAAGAGGAGGGCGAGGGAGGAGGAGGAGGAGCAAACAATGAATGATCCTTTTGTGGTTTTGGTGGTTTGGGGGGTGCGGGGGGGGGGGGGGGCGACCATACATATATATATATATATATATATATATATATATGTGCAATGTGCGAACGAGCGTGAACCCAAGCAACGAGTTCTTGCATTGTGCAACGTGTTATGTAATCTACGCGGGGAAGCTATGCTATGTGGTGCAAGCTCTGTTGTGCAATCTAGTTTGTCCGGGACATACGGGTTGAGATATGTAGTGTCAGCAATCTGGCGTAGGCCTTGTGTCGTAATTCACGTGCTGTGCACTTCATGATGTGAGCTATGCTGTACAACGCGTGTGTGGTGAACCATGCAAGGAAAGCCAAGCGATGTAAGCTATGAGGTGCGAGCTGTGCTGTGCCACGTGCTGTGCCAGCGCGCGAGGCGCCCACGGGACGCCCACCAGCGGGCACGGGCGACGAGGCGAAGAGCCCTCGGGAAAAACCCTTCCAGAGCACGGGGCGCCCGGAGGGCGCCCCCGAGCGAGCCCCGGGCGCTCACGCGGCGATCGCTTCGGGAAACGCACATTCAGCGCGCGGGGCGCCCACGAGAGGCGCCCACGGAGGGGCACCGGGCGCCAGCGTGGCGAAGGCCTCTCGGGCACCCCACCCGGCCTGCGGGGCGCCCAGGAGGCGCTGGCGAGCGGGCACGGGCGCCACCGGAGCGAAGGCCGAGGAAGGCCGTCCAAGATTTGAAGAGAGCCAGTTCAGAACCCATACGTGCACGAACGGGCTGGGAATATATATATATATATATATATATATATATATATATATATATAGCTATATATATATATACTGACACATATATCTAAGCATGTACATAGTTGCATATACATATATATACACATCTGTGAATGTATGTATGTTTATACATATGCATATCAATGTATATGATCGCCGCCCTGTCATCATACATATTCCTCATCCTCGACTGCTTCTCCTCCGTCTTTTTTTTTTTGTTCTCTCTCTCTCTCTCTCTCTCTTGCTGACCGTTTTTTAGCTTGACCAGCTTCCCACAGACTGACCGTTGAAAAAGGCTGTGTTTCCAGCTTTTACAGATTGTCCAGCTTTCCCCAAATACTGATCGTTGAAGCACGCTGTGGTTTCGAACTTCTCCAGCTTTTCCCAGAGATTGGCCGTTGAAAAAAATGATTGTCTTCCAGCTGTTGCAGCCTGAGACTGACCGCTGAAAAACGCTATGTACTCCAGCTTGTCCAGCTTTTCCAGAAGCTGTGTTTTCCAACCTTTGCAGCTTTTCCAAAGGACTGACCTGACCGTTGAACGACGCTGTGTTTTCCAGCTGTTCCAGCTTGACCAGCTTTTCCCAGAGACTGACACTTTGAACCAAACTATGTTCTCTGGCGTTTCAAGTTGTTCTAGTTTTTCCTAGAGGCTGCCCGCTGAAACACGCTGCGTTATCCAGCTTTTCCAGCTGTTCCCAGAGATGGACCGATGAAAATCATTGTGTTTTCCAGCTTGTCCAGGTTTTCCCAGGGACTGACCGATCAAATACATTGTGTTTTCAACCTGTTCCAGCTTTTTCCAGAGACTGACCCTTTGAAAAACGCTGTGCTGACCAGCTGTCCCAGCTTTTCCCGAAGACTCACTGTTGAACCGCATTGTGTTTTCCAGTTGATCCAGTGTTTCCAGCTGTTTCAGCGACTACCGACCCGTTGAACACCGGTGCGTTTTCCAGCTTTTTCAGATTTTCCCAGGGACTACCCTTTGGAACACGCTGTGTTTTCAAGCTGTTCCAGCCTGTCTAGTGTTTCCCAGAGACTGACCGTTGAAAACCGCTGTGTCTGATAGCTTTCCCAGCTTTTCCAGGTTTTTCAAGAGATCAGCCTTTGAAAAACAGTGTGCTTTCCAATTTCCCCAGCTTCCCCAGCTTTTCCCAGAGATTGACAGTTGAAACACGCTGTGTTTTCAAGCTTGTCCAGCTCATCCAGGCTTTCCCAGAGACTGACCGTTCAAAAACGCTGTGTTCTCTAGTTTTTTCCAGCGTTTCCCAGGCACTACCTTGCTGCGGAGTATGTGGCAACATATTGAAAAGTTGGAAAGCAAAGCGTTTTTTCAACGGTCAGTCTGTTGGAAAGGTTGGCAAAGCTCGACCAAACAACGGTTTTCAATTGTCAGTCTCTGGGAAAAGCTGGAAAATCAGCGGTTTGCAGAAAAGTTGGAAAAGTTTGATAAGCTGGAAGACACAGCGTTGAGCGTTGTTCAACGGCCAGTCTCTCGGAAAAGCTGGAACAGTTGGACAGGCTGAGCCTCCAGAAACAGCAGGAAAATCTGGAAAACACTGCATTTTTCAACGGGCAGCCTCTGGGAACACAAAATCAAAAGCTGGAACAATTGGAACACACAGTGCGATTTTGTGTCAACGGTCAGCCTTTACAGTTGGAAAAGAAAGGCACGAAGCCATAGCGTTTCTCAACGGACACTCTCTGGGAAAAGGCGGGAAGAGCTGGAACAAGCTGGAAAACAGCGTTCTTCAACCTTCAACCTTTGAACGCCCCGCAGGATCCAAAGTAAAACGAATATAATATCGGCTACACATCTTGGGTCGCCCTCAGAAGAGGGAGGAGGACAAGAGGATAATATGAGGAGGAGAAGAGGGGAAGGAGGAGGTGGGAGGAGAGGAGGGAGGAGAAGGAGGCGAAGGGAGGAGGAAAAGCAGGAGGGAGGAGAAGGGAGGAGGGGGAAGAGGAGGGGAAGGAGGAGGATGACAAGGAGGGGCGGAGGGATTAGGAGGAGGACGAGCAGGAAGAGGATCAGAAATGATGCGACATGTGTGATGACATGGAGGCGAGCATATATGTATGTATGTTTTAATGTATGTACGCATGAGGATATATCGGAGGTGAGGGGGTGAGATCGAAGTGGAACGGAGAGCCCCCCTACCGGGTAATCGGTTTCGGTTTCGTGTTCGTGCGTGCCGTGCGTGCTGGCGTGGCGAAGCTGCGTGGGCGGGCGAGAAATGTCCCGCCTCTGGCTGAGGCGCGGCCGGACCAAAAGTCTCCCTTCCGGCAAGCGGTGCCGCGCGGTGTCCCGCCGGTGTCCCGCCGGTGTCCCGTCGGTGTCCCGATGATGATGATGATGACGATGTTGATGGTGATGATGATGATAATGGCCATGGTGGTGATGATGATGGTGTCCCGATGATGATGATGATGTTCATGATGCTGATGCTGCTGATGATGATGGTGTCCCGATAT